TTATAATTCTAGCAGGCTGAGACAACTAGTCCTTGAAAAATCTGCATTTTGATTGTGACATTTACGACCCTTTGGGATATATTTGATTGCATACATTCTTTTGTTCGATATTGTTGTGCATTCATTTTTATTTGATCACTTGTCAATTTTTAACTCATCAATGCATGGTCTTTGCTCATATTTGGGTGTATTTGAAGAGCTTGTTCAGGTTAAATGAATAAACAATCTTATTTGTAGTTGTTCATTATAATATCCTCCTTTGTACTTATATACTCTGTTTATGTGACAGGATATTGCTCATTTTCGGCTTGATCTCAAGTTGCTAATATCAAGTGCTACACTTGATGTAGAGAAGTTCAGTGATTACTTTGATTTTGCACCAATATTCAAAATTCCAGGGAGACGCTATCCTGTTGAAAAAAACTTTACCAAAGCTCCAGAAGCTGACTACATAGATGCAGCTATTGTCACCTCACTTCAAATCCATGTCACTCAACCTCCAGGAGATATATTGGTATTCCTTACTGGTCAAGAAGAAATTGAGACGGCTGAAGAAATCTTAAAGCATCGAACTAGAGGTTTGGAGACTAAAATTGCTGAGTTAATAATATGTCCTATATATGCCAACCTACCAACTGAATTACAAGCTAAAATATTTGAACCCACCCCTAAAAGAGGCCAAAAGGTTGTCCTTGCTACTAATATTGCAGAAACATCATTGACAATTGATGGGATCAAGTATGTCATTGATCCTGGATTTTGCAAAATCAAAAGTTATAATCCAAGAACAGGAATGGAGTCTTTGCAAGTAACTCCCATCTCAAAAGCTTCAGCGATGCAAAGAGCTGGTCGTTCTGGAAGAACAAGTCCTGGAAAATGTTTTTGATTGTATACTGCATACACTTTTCACAATGATTTGAATGATAACATTGTGCCAAAAATACAGCAGACAAATCTTGCTAGTGTAGTTTTGTCTTTAAAAAGTCTTGGTATTGGTGACTTATTTAACTTTGATTTCATGGATCCTCCACCTAATGAGGCCTTATATAAAGCACGGGAACTTTTATATGCATTAAGTGCATTAAATAAGCATGGTGAGTTAACTAAAGTGGGTAGACGGATGGCAGAGTTCCCACTTGATCCTAAACAAAATAAAAAAGAAATGAAAATAGAAGTCTTATTGTCAGTCAAGATAATTATATAAGTTACATCGAAATAGTACTAGCATCATAATAATCACAAACATTACCTCCTTTACCTCTAAACCAACCCTCCAACTTATTCTTAACTTACTTTCATCTTGTTCTGCTCTTATACAAAGTATGATCATTACAATTCCAACCACAAGGGAAAAAGAGGGTAAATTTGTGAAAAAATTCAACACACAATAAACAATATAGAGTGACAACATAAGCAACTTGAATATACATGTATAAATTGCATAAATGATAAGGTAATTGTTGCATGAGATTCCTAGGGTAGTTAACTATTGTTAAGTATTTTCGCTATGTAGTATTATTCCATACTAAGTGTAATGACCTGTTGATAATTATGTGATTTACTTAATATCAAGTGTGTAAATGACAACAATTACCTTTCTTTTCCGTTATTTCTAGTGTTGTCAATCTCTTTTTGGTATAAGTTCATTAAGTTTACAATTCATTGTAATTTTTAGGAATCTTGACTTAAATCTCACAAATGGAACTCTTTTTGTAGAGAAGTTGAAGATGAAGAGAGTTGCAAGCTCCAACACTTAAAGAATCAATAAGAAAATTGAGAGTTGAAGTTGGATTTTCGGTTAGTGAGCCAATCTGTTTGTTGAGCGAGAGTTGCATGATGGAAAGTCACAATGAAGTTTGCTCACTTAACAAAAACGTGGTCGTTGAACAAGAATTCGATGACCAACACAAATCAAGTGGTTCGTTTAGTGAGCCTTTTTTAGGGATGGCAAAATGAATTGTGACCCGCGGGTCGGCCCGTTGACTCACCAAAAATTGGCAGGCCCGGTCCATCATTTCAACCCACCAAACCTGCCAACCCGTCAGGCCAAATGGCAAGCTGACCCATCACAACCCGCCAACCCGCATAAGTAATTGAGCTTCAGTTGCTTGCACAAGTAATGAACTTGTTTTGCAGACTATCAAAAAATTTAGATTATTAGTAATTTGTAAGTTTATAATTTGTTTTTGATTTTGGTTTAAGTGGACTAATTTCTATTTGATTTTGTTCTAAGTTTGTAATTTGTTTTTCTTGAACATATATTATATACAATATGTATGCATTTTTAATTTCATATGGTTATATTTATTTATTTGTAGAATTTTTTTTATTTGAACATTAAAAATGTTTTTTTTCCACTTTTTTTGTAATTTTTTTTCTGGTATGCCGGCTGGCCCATCGACTCGCCAATCCGTCCTTAGGCAGGGCGGGCCAGCGTTTCCAACCCATTTTTCATTGGCGGCCTGGCCCGACCCAGCCTGTTTTTGGCGAGCCATTGACGGGTCGGGCTGACCCATTTTGCCACCCCTAGCCTTTTTTAGGTTAACAAGATTAAATCACAAAAAGTTTTTCTCGTTGAGCGAGACGTGGACGCTGAACGAGACAACCTTAAAGCATCATAAACGTTTTCTAGCTCAGCGAGCCAATCTGGTTGTTAAGCGAAAGTTAGTGGACACCTAGACCTATGAGACAAAGAGAATGCTCTCTGATAGGGTTGGCCTAGGGATTCAAAGGCATTATTGCAAACATTATTGACAAGACTCTTGAAGGGTGGGAACACCCTATGATATTTCCCCACATCTCCAATCCTTCATCATTTTTAGTGGTTCTAATGGCTAGTTATGGCTAAACTTCGAGTCATTGAGATTGGATGTAACTAACTGAACATCATGTATTACCTTTACTTCATTAATCTATGTTTCATTATATTCATTAGTGTTTTCACTCTTCTCTTAATGCTCTCTTGATTTATTATATCTTGAATGATTTATTACTTTAGTTTTTATTGGAAAATGCTTCTTCAACTATGTAGGAGTTAAAATACACATTGAGAGTCATATTTAGGAATGAATATGAAGCTGAATGAACATTTGTGAACTACTCATTTTTAATGCTTGTATTTTAGTCATGTTAACCAAGGGATTAGAGATTTGAGTGAAATGCATGGTTTCAAGCTCTTCAGGAATTAAGGTTTGAAGACTTTTGTGGTTTTGTTAATGTTGAAATGGAATATAGAGGAAAATCTTTTATAAATTGATATATGATGGTGGTCTAGTGAAATCCAATCCTAATAGTTCTCTCCATTAGATTTTACTTAAGTATTGTCTCGTGTGTTTCACAAAAATCTCAAAAGAAAAGTTATTGTTATTACTTATGCTGTTTTACTTTAGAGTTCATTTATGCAAAAGTCCAACTTCAAACAAACTACACATAGTGTGTTGAGTTACATTTGCCATATATTGCATAAGGTCTTTTGAAATACAATTTTATTTTGAAAATATTAGACACAATTTGGTATGCGTATCTATTGCCTTATTTTAAATTTTAAATTTTCTATCTTATTTAAAATTATTTTTATTTTTATTTTGTAAAAAAATATATAAAAAATTACATGTTAAACTGTCTATTAATACAAATTAAAAATATAAATAATATGTACATATATAATATACTTGCAATTGATATCACAAAATAATATATGTAATATTTACATAGATATTATATTATTAAATATATAATTTAATATTAATAATATACTATAAAAGTTATTTAAGTTATATATATTATAAATAAATACATTAGAACAAATAGTCATTGTTATATTTAATAAGAATCTTTGTTCTTTCATTAAGAGATTTAATTTTCATTATTATTTTTGTGGTTTATGGTCTCTTAAAAAAATTTATAAAAAAAAAAAAGTGATTGAACCGGTTTGACCCACCGGTTCACTGGTTGAACCAGAAAATTGACCGGTTCAATCCGGTTTGAAACGGGTCGACTGCATAACCGATCCAACTTAAGATTCGGACTGGCTGGACCACCGGTTCCCGGTCCAATCAGTCTGACCGGCCGGTTCGATCTGGATTTTTAAACACTGGGAAGTACTATTCACGTCTATGGAGGATGTGTTAAATTATCTAAAATTTTAAAACATTTTTTTTATTGAGAGTGAAATACAAAGAAAAGAAATAGGTAGTATAAAACATAAGAGAAATATAGTAAAAAAAATGTGTGGTTTAAATGGGTACAAAATTATTTTTAAAAAATATAATAATTAAAACAATAAAGAAAACAATAAACCACACAAATTATTTTGCTTAACAAATTGTTTTAGGAGGAAAGTGATTCCAAATACGTCTTACGAATATAATTATTGACCGAATAGAGAGACTTTCCACATGCAATTATGGAACAAGCAGCTTGGAGATCATATAGAGGCTTGCTTGAACAATATGTCAAATGTTCCTAAGCAAGGCGAGAACGTGAACAAGAACAGAATGGGTTGTTTTATTTCCAAATTGATATTAAAATTATATTTTTCTATTTCTCTAACAACAAATACTTATAATCTTAATTTATTTCTCGCCTACTTCCCTTGACTTGTTTCTCTCTTCTCTACTTCTCACTTATTTCTTCCATCCCTACCAATCGAACCATAAATGTTACTACAATGACAGATGGTATAAGTAATAAAAATATGATCCTTTAGAATAATTTGCTAATGATCTTTGAAAAATTAATGTGACGATGATTGTAGTCTTCAAAAGACTAGAGTATTAACCCATGTAATTTCAGAAAAAAATAAGTTATCTTATAAACAATTATGATTTACTTAAATGTACTTGGTGTAATTCACACCACCACCTGACATGGGTGAATATGTACCAAGGTATATTCGGAATCCATGCCCTTTTCACTACTAACATGGGTTCTTTGTTATAGTTCTATCTACCAACCTTGCCACATGTATATATGTTTCCATTGTAATTCATTTGCCATGCTAATATCAAAGGCCACCCACATTCCCACACAATATCTAAAATACATACAATCAACAACGTTAAAAAGAGCAAAATTGCAGGAAGGAATATAATCATCACAATCCGTTGCCTAACAAAATTTTAGGTTTTTCCTTTGTTGTTAACAATAAATTTATAAGAGTGCAACTACTAGGACCAATTTCAAAAGAAAAATCAGGATATGAAAAACAAAAGTAATATCCTTCTTTCCTCTAGAAGACTAGTTCATGAGGTTTCACACCATCCTTTAGAGAAAACCTAGCACCGAGATAAACCTTCAAGTCTGGAACACTCTCAATGGCTTTAATCAATGTAGAGTCCACAGTTTTCTGATCATCTTTCTTCTGCTGGGGCAATACACTCTTTTCCTGCATTACGAAAAAAAAAAGCAGAGATCAAAATGCAGAAGAAGGTGAAAATTAAAATAACACCAACAAAACACTAAAATTGACAATTGTACCTCCTTATCTGCCTCAAAGAACTCGCCTTCTCCCTTCTTTTTTTTCTTTTGGGCTTCCTTAGTAAAGTATTTGTCATCAAAGTTGTCAACATTAACAGCAGAAACATCTACTTTGGTTGATGTGGCAATAACATAGGACTGATTCACACGTCTCAAAGGAACTCCATTAATCTTGAAAGGACCTAAAATGGCAAGTGAGAACATAAGTCAGACTGGACATGGGTGGAGAAAAGAGTAGCGATATTCAAATTTGTGATCAATAGGTACTGAAAAAACAAAGTCATTGTACACACCAGAACACACCCATCAACATAATCATAATATCATTGGCACCAGCAAGTAGTAACAGAAGTAAACACCTCAAGCAATAAGGAAGAGGTAACCTTTACAAACCAATTACTCGTGTTATTTCCGACCCGGACAATTTTAGGGGTCTACAATACCATGTATGATCATTGTAATCCAACACTTGAGAACATAAGGGTAAACTTGTATAAAAAGATAATAACATATAAATAAGACTTAAAAATATACAACTTCAACTTTAAACAATTTCAGCGCAAAACAAAAATTAACAAACTATAATCTAATCAGAAGTTCATGCCATAAATCAACAAAATATTCTTGTTACAACAATTAACAAATTGGAAGTTTATCAATATGCTATTCCCAGCTTCACCAAAATGTCTTCCGATAGCTCGCTTGCGAAGTTCATGACAACTGCACTTTTTTCCACTTATTGAGTTAAATTTGAATTTACTGATTTTACATGTTCAATAGATAACTCATGGTATAACAATAATGCTTTCAAGCGGACTAATTATGAAAGGGATGTATAACAATTATTTAATTAACTATCCATTATTAAGTTACACAAGATAGGTAAGTCAAAAGAATAACAAATCCTACTACAATGTTCTCCAATTAATCTGTTTTACTTTTCTCTGAATTCTATCAAGTGAACAGAAGGATCAGTAAGATGTTGTCAAAGGATTTATAATTATAGCCATCAAATTCCTTAAACCAAAGAGAAGAAAAAAAATAAATCCCATCAATAGGAGGAATGAAATGCAACTATTAAATTTCAAATATTATAATTTAACGGTTTCTTCTTTGCAAAACAATATAATGCCAATTTAAGAGAGAAAGAGAGATACAGTCTTCAACATCCTTAAGCTGGTAATAGTGGGGGGCAATTTCCACCAACCACTCTAGCTTTAATTCTGTCACCTGTAATTTGAGTATGCAATTTCAGCTATTGACCGATATCCATTACAAGAAGTCATGAAACATTTGACTTAGTAACAGTTAGGAATACCTGTCTCATATATTCCTTGGTTGTGAGTACTAGTTCATGGTATACAACCCATCTAGGAAGAAAATATGAAAGGTAAACAAAGAGAACAAAAAATGAAATGAGAAACAATTGGGTATCTTTTACTAGAGCATAGCAATCCCAACTTCATAAGTCTTAATGCACATTCATGCAATATAAAATTGATTGATTCTTATAAAATTTCCTAAAAATGGAGTACAGAAAGTCCATTAAAACAACATATGTCATCATAAGTTGTTGCTGATGACATCTGTTGTTTTAATGGACTGTGTACACTAGGTTGAGTTGTTAGGATTTCTTTTAAAATTTCTCTAAAAAAGGAGTACACACAGTCCATTAAAACAACAGATGTCATCAGCAACAAACAACACCAAACTACCTCCACCAGCCCTGAATTAGGATGTATATGAACAGTCTGTGAAAGTTTAACAGTCTGATATGACCCATACTTTTGCAGTCATGCAGTGTGTGGGAAAAACCCTGCAGCAGTTAAAAATTAGATTTGGTAGACTAAAAAAATAACTACAATCCAAGAAATTAATAGTTTATTTTACCGGATGTAATGGTTTTCTTGATAGCATCTAAATCATTAGCATTTGAAGTTAATTCAATATCAACCCTCTCTAAAAGACCTACAAGTTGATCACGGATATCCATAGCCCGTTTTATACTCCTAACCTGAATATCAAAATAAAATAAAATATTACACCAAAAGTCAAAGCATGGATGTACAAAATATGAATAAATTCTAACAAAGGCATTTTAACAGATGAAAGAATACTCAAGTATCAAATTGTCACTAACAGATCATTGTTGAATGCTACAACATTTGAGATGCAAAGTGGCAGGGGAACTAAACATGGGCAGCATTGTCATAAGCCTACATACAAGTTCTAAAATGTTCTTTACAAAACAAATATAAGTAAAATAAAAAAAGTAAGAAAAGATGACATCCTTCTACAAGAAACCCAAAAAATAATAGGTATATCGATAGGAAGAAAACACTACTAAATACAACTTCCTAAGGATAGCCAATCTCTTTGCAAATGAAAACCCTCTAGAGTAGCTATAACATAGCACCATAATAATTTACAACTAAAACACCATACATCTCCATAGTAAATAAGGAGAATATGCAGGTAGATTTTTACGGCCAAAATAAATATTACCACTCTACAGATTGGCCAAAATGTTCCTTGATTATAGTTAAAAGAGAGAGAGATTTCATTTTCTGAATATGCTTGAGTGATAATTCCACCCAGCAGAATGAATTTATTTATATACAAGAGAACAAAATTAACTAAAATTAAAATTGAAAATAGTAAAAGCAAGAAACATTTCTAAACCTTACACCAATACTTTCTTTCCTCACTTCCCCTAATTTTCTCAACTCTCGTAGTCACTACTTATTTTACGTAACAATGGACAGGTGGGTACCACTCTCTAGCACATGCACTAAATATAGAAGTGACAAATACTGGATTGCAAAACAAAGATCCATATGTACCTGTATATAATTTTCATAACACCATTGTGTTGAAAAATTGGTCTCCTTCCATGAATCGTAGACCTGAATGAAAAAAAAAATCAATAAGGTCCAGCTAGAATCTCGAACAGATTAATATTTGACACGTGCATGCCAATGATAATCTGGCCATGTTTCAACTAGATGAAAAAATAAATACACAAAAAATATTCAAATCTATAATGATATCAACAATAGTGTCTTACATTTCACAGAAAGGAAAAATGGATATACACAAGTTGATAACAGCCAAAATAAAAAATAAAAAAGTCACAAGCAACATAACCTTTAGCAATGCAATATGGTCTCCCACATTTCCAGTGTGAAAATTCATCCTTGCATTGTTTGCATGCAGTTGTTTATCCTTTGGACGGTAAAATATTGAGTTTTCAATAGAAAGCATAGCAATAATAGAAATGATATCATCTGAACATTTTTACTTTTCTGAAGCCACTACCATTTTTGACAACATAGAATTCTTTTTTAAGAACTTCAATTCTATTGATCTAATGAGTTGTTGAATTGAATTTTGTGGCAGCATCCTCGAAGAAATTGCCACGTGGACCAGGACGTGCTCAAGAGGACAGATAGCTGACGCATCTTTACATATGCTTTGGCTGGTAAAAAAATGTTGTACTGTATATAATTTATAACTGTTTATTTAGAGTATAGCATCCTGTATCCTTACCTGGTGAAGTAACTTTCACAAGTTGCAGTTGCATGTGCATCCTTTGGCCGAGTGTTGATTTCACTTACCAACAAATTTTGTCATGTAGATATCAGGCTCATTCTTTTGTAATAAGTGACATCTAATTCAATTTTATTAGCACTGCTAGTTTAATATTGTATAAATTTTTTAGGGCAGTGCTTTAACGTAGAAAATATTCAGAGCAACTTGTATTTATTGCTCAAGGCTGTACAATTTCATTGAATCTGGCATATGCCATTCAATAATTTCTTAAATTTGGTTTTTGGTATCTCAAATTCAAATTGTTTTTTTTATTTCTATAATTTTAAAAGGTCTATATATATATATATATATTATATTATTTTTCTTTTTAAAAAAATACTACTCTATTACTAATCTTGTATTTTTACGATTAAAGAGCTAAAAAAATTATAGAGTAGATAAAAATAAATTGAGATATTTTCATTCTTCTTCCAAAGTTAAGAGAGTGCGTTATTTATAATCAATAGTTACAAGGTAGTCCTACAATTATTATCATCTAATATTTAAGGAGTTTAAAAATATAAATTGAATACATGATATTAATAATAATAATAATAATAATAATAATAATAATTTATATTTAAGTCAAATAGATACAAGATAATTTGACGAGCATATAAAAAAAAGGACATAGAAGAAACAATTTGAGCGGGAATTTAGTTGTTTAGGGCGTGACTCATGTTTCATTTTGAATATTGACTAAATTATCCTTAAAAATGACATGTGTCACAAAAATAATATGGAGTATGTTTGCAATTTTCCTAGTCTAAAGACGACAAAATGAATTATTCTGAAACATTTTTCTTGCATCAAAATTTAACATGTTTAGTTAAATATTTTATTTACTTAAAATAATAACTATCAACATTATAATTAGTTATTATTTCAAATGAGTAACTAAAAGTATTTAAACTAAATTAAAAGTCATTAATTCAAGTACTTTGACATGTGTATTTTTCAATCAATAATTAAGTTTAATCTTTATCTTGAACATATAATTATACTTCTTTATTAAGAAATTATTTTTTAAAATAATTATCAAAATATTTTTTTTACTGACATTCTTATAAATCATCGTAAGTAGTGTTTTTCTTTTAAAAACAATTATACATACCCTTTGTGTATATTAAATTATTTATATTAAAAAATATTGTAAATAATTCGTAAGTAATGTTTTTCTTTAGAAACTAAAATACATGGATAACGTTTTGACCATTTTTGATAAATTATAATCTAAATATTAAAAGATAAAGTTAAAACAAATAATGAAGGTATTATCACAATTTTAGTAAGTTATTCCGTCTAGTTATTTTTTCTTTAAAAAATCACCTTTCCGTTATTATTATATATAAAAAAATATAAGTTCTTTAATTTATAACTTTTCTCTAACTTACATACAGTGTTTTAAAAACAGATCGAACCGGCCAGTCGGACTGGTTGGATTTGGGAACCGGTGGTCCAGTTTGAGTTGTGACAGTGTTTATAATCTATTGGATGGTTACAAAGTGATCATTATGTGATAAAGAAAAATGATTATTATTTTTTAACTATATAGTTTTAATCAAGCCAACTATATTACTTTATCAAGTGAGAGAATTTTTCATAGTAAAAGAAATGTCTTATTAATG